CGGATATCTTAATATACGAGCATCACCTGACCGCTTTAAAAACTGTTTCTTCCTCGCTATCAGATAAAGACCATATGATAGTTCTTGGTGATTTTAATTTGCCAGGCGCTGTTTGGTCTTCGGTAAACGAGTCTAATAACCTTGTGCCCATGTCACGACATGACTTTATCGACGGCTTGCTAGACCTATCCCTGTCTCAAGTCAACCATGTGAAAAATTCCTTGGGTCGATTGCTTGATCTGTGTTTGTCTCGGATCCGACCATAGCGTTGTTAACCCGAGCCCTTCCGCTCAGTATACCTGAAGACTCCTACCATCCTACATTCGAAGTGTCAGTCGATATTGGCCCTACTGTATTGGATCGAATGAGTAGGCTATCTGAACGTGTCCGCTGCTTTCGTAAAGCCGAGTTTACGAAGCTTAATAACCTTATTAGGGATTTTGACTGGTCCGCTCTGTACTTGTGCACTGACGTTATGAAAGGCACACACATTTTTTACAATGTACTTGACACATTTTTTGATTCTTGTGTCCCACTTTCTTGTCATCCCACTTTCTTGTCCGGTTAGATCTGGAAAGCCTCCTTGGTTTACCAAGGAGTTATCCAGTCTAAGAAATTTAAAATCAAGACTTAATAAAAAATTTCGAGAAGTTGGTTCTCCCTCTTCTCTTTCTCACTATGTAATAGCTCGGTCAAATTTCTCCGTTCTTAACGCTCAATGCTATAAGAACTACCTATCAATTTGCAGGATACGATTTTCACAGGACCCTAAACAGTTTTACAGCTTCGTAAATAGTAAGCGTAGAACGTCCGTACATCCATCCTCGTTATCTTTTCTCAATATGTCAGCAAACAATGATCAGGCAATTGCCGATCTTTTTGCCAAATTTTTCCAAACAACCTATTCTCATGAAAGCCACTCTGGTCAGCCGTATCCATACAGTTTACCAAGGTCGAATGGCATCTTCAGCCCGTTGTTAAATGAAAGCTCACTGCTTCATGATCTTCGACTAGTTAAGCCGGTGTTTTCACCAGGTCCCGACGGAGTTCCCGGCTGTGTACTCAGGTACTGTGCCGACGCTCTGTGTGGACCCTTGCTTAATCTATTCACCCTATCCATTAACTCTTCATGCTTCCCCCCCATCTGGAAGGAATCTTTTATTATCCCGCTCCATAAGAAAGGTAGCAAGTCTGATGCAAATAATTATAGGGGTATATCTAAGTTATCCGCTATTCCTAAAATGTTTGAAAAAATTTTAACTCCGCACTTGCAACATCTCTGCAAATCACTTATATCTCCGTCCCAGCACGGATTTATAAGGCGACGATCAACAACCACAAATTTATTAGAGTTTACCTCTTTTATCATTAAAGGCTTTCAAGGTAACTTGATGTCATTTACACTGATTTTAGTAAAGCATTTGATTCTGTAAACCATTCCCTTTTAGCACAAAAACTTGACCTTTTAGGGTTTCCGCCTAATCTTTTGAGATGGATTTCTAGCTACCTTTGTTCTAGGTCTCAAAGAGTCCTCTTCAAAAACTCCTTCTCTTCACCTGTTAAGGTTACTTCTGGAGTACCACAGGGCAGCCATCTAGGCCCCCTACTATTCACACTCTTTATTAATGATCTGCCTTCAGTATTAACAAACTCTCGAGTACTCATGTATGCGGATGATGTTAAACTTTGTGTCCAGTATAAGGACATTTCATTTCACTCTCGCTTGCAATCCGATCTCAATAACTTTCAATCATGGTGTTGTGCAAATATGTTACACCTAAATGCCTCGAAATGCAAAGTAATGACATTTCATCGCTCCAGCCCCCTATTGGCTCCTTATAGCCTCTGCGGTGACCCAAAGACCCAAAGTTGAAGTTTTCTGAACACATTTCTACCATGGTAAATAAGGCCATGGGTGTGCTTGGGTTTATAAAGAGGTGGTCAAAGGAATTTGACGACCCCTATATAACGAAGACTCTCTATATCTCGCTTGTTCGTCCGATTTTAGAATACGGCTCTTGTGTATGGTGCCCCCAGTACAAAGTGCACCAGGACCGTATAGAATCAGTCCAGAAAAACTTTTTACTTTTTGCTCTGCGTGGCCTTAACTGGGATGCAGGTGTGAGAATGCCATCTTATCCTCGTAGATTGCTTTTAATAAACCTTCCAACCTTAGTTAGTCGTAGAAAAATGCTTGGTGTGATTTTTATGCACAACCTGATCAAGGGTGATGTAGATAGCCCTGACTTGTTGAGCCGCATAAACTTTACGATTCCTATTAGATCTACTAGAAACTTCATTCCTCTTTTCCTTCCGCTTTGTAGATCGAATTATTCCTTGCACGAACCATTTAGGGTACTTTGCTCGGACTTCAATTCCCTCTACCACATAATATCAACTACTAATTCCCTTCCTCTTCTTAAATCACTAATACTAACATACCTTTCCCGTAATTAGTTATATTTTTTAGCTATCTTTGCATGCTTAGCTCTTTGAGTTGTGTTTAGCTCTAATTTTCCTCGAATTTTAGTCTAACACCTATCTTTCCTGCATGCTCGCGATCGGTTCGGTAACACGCGTCGCGCGTCATGCGGCAGCGCCCCTCGGTCGGTTGGGCGGGAGGAGGGCTGCGTTTCTGCCTGGGTTCCGCGCGTAACAGGCTTCGGCTTGGTGTCGCATGGGCCACTTGATGGTGCAGTCATTGCATATCAACGTCCAGACATAGTGTTATTAGTCCTCTAACGAACCATGGATCCCATGGACCGGCACAAGGGGCTTACGCAATGAGTACCTACCTAAAATAATATTAAAAAAAAATAAATATTCCTAAGAATATATTCACGCAGTGCCAATAAAATTCCTTTCCCACGGTACCGGTGCACACCGATCACCTTACCTGGGATATTGGACACTTGTTGGGAGGCGATTGCCTTAACCCTCGGTTACCGGGCAATCCACTCACACGCGAGAGCCAGTCAGCAGTCTCCGACTTCTCTTATCGGAAATATTGGACACTGACTGCAGGGCTAATGATTAGGTAACCTTCTGTTACCGATCAGCCCGTCTGCAACTACCCAACTTTAAAATTGGCTCTGAAATAAAATTGTGCAGGGCAACAACAGATTCCGTTTTTCTGCTGACAGCTGTCGCAGCTCAATATAACCTCTTTAACACATAACAGAGGCTTTTTTGAGAGCAATACACAATGGCATGAACTTAACAGAACTAATTTGAATCTTTTCAGTAACGGACTTAAGTGAAAATCCATCGCGTCTTGTTCCCTTTTGCGTACACAAACGAGCTGCAAATCATGTGAATGTAGTCGTGATGTAGATGTTCAAGACGAGGGACTAGGGTCGATTCTAGACAATTTAGCACGGACAGACGGGTAATATGTTTGATTACGCACATTCGCAAACAAAGAAAAGAAAGTTTAAAATTTAATGAAAGAAAACCATAGTTCAGGTATGTAAAATTGTAGTTTACTAAAATATTTGTCAATATTGTGTGTTTTTGCCCGCATGCATCGTGTGTTTCATGTGTTTTTATTATGTTTAGATTAAACAAAATTCGATGTGCGTGAAGGGTTGTGTGTGAGCTAGCGAAGCGATTGCGCAGGGGGCTTGCCCCCTAGTACACAATTATTATGTATTGTTATACATATATACTGTATGGCTAGTGGTACGGGTATAAAAGTAGAGTCGCGGCAACTGAATCGACTCATAACGTTCCTTCTCGTTCAAATTGGATTTGTGGTCGAAGAGGATTTGTGTAACGCACAGAAGGAAAAGATATAGCTTGTCTGTTCGCCCGTCCATCTCAATGAGCGCCTAGATTTCAGAGACTTTAAAAGCTAAAACAACCAAATTTTATATCCAAACATTTGTGACTTCTTCGGCTCCCCTTTTGCCGACACAGAGAACGAAAATTTGTGGAAATCTTAATTTCGAACATATGAGAAAATTACAGTATAAAGCAGATTTCCGAATCTGGTTCAGATCGAAACATTATTATAGCCAGAATGCAGAAATTAGTTTGCAGTGGCTACCCCCTTCCAGCGCTTACAGGTAACTTATGTAGATCCTTTGTATTCTTATTTAGTTCGTAAGGCGCGTAAATTAGGAGTCGTTTAAGGCATCACTTATAAAAATCCTCCCTAAATCACAGTTAAGCGTTACAAACCGTTCGATACGTGAACCCGTGAACTCTTAGACAGGAACTTCATAGACCTTACACAAGTTTTTCGATGTTCTGCAGCTTGTGGTAATGCACGTTCTCCATTCTTTCATTCGCCAGCCTCATTATACAGGGAATCTAACGAATCAAAATAACGTTAAGTGCAAGTGCAGCAAGGACTTGGTCATATATCTGAACGACGGACAGACAGTACATGGCTACATCGTCGCAAAAACCTAAAACATCCATATGTTTATCTAATCATATCTAAAATATATCCCTATACCCGGGCTATTCACCTATTTTGAAACGTTTTAACCACTTTTCGCCACACTTATGGCACTCAGAATGTTCTAAGTAGCTCTAAAACAAGTCTTTGCTGATAGCTAGGATTAAAAAAGATCGCATTAGTTGTGAGAGATGCAATGCAGTTTTCCTCGTTTCTGCATTTCCATCACAATCGTTTCCACCACACTGCCGATGGCTTTTTCGTTTCGGGATCATATGCATACGAGTATATTCATGATTCGTCACCTGCTACGATGTACAAAACGTAGCTGTATTGTACTATATCACCATTTCTTAGCAGCAATTGTTAGGAGCCTTAGTTTGAGAAACGAAGAAGAAAATCATATCTGCCCAAGATATGCGAACATTTTTCGCTGTCGCCGTGATCGAAGGGTTGGAAAGTGTGGCGGGGCTGTGGGCTATACATATTTGGAAATACTCGTAGCAGGCCAGTCGTAGCACAAAAGCAGCTGTCACGAGCAGATACGGGACTTCAATGTGAAACAAATCATTTCATTGCCGGAGATCGTTTCGAACACACAAACAATTCCAAATTCCAAATTCCAAATTCGAAATCTTACATTTTCTCAAATTTTCGTGAGAATTGGAATTCACTTTTCAACCATCATCCACAACACACTTAAGGGGCTAAGAAGTACCTACCAGCCGGTGATGGTACCGTCGCACATCCTCCAGTTAGTGGATGTGGATGGCATCACATCAGTGCACGTTTTGGATGTAAGGTAGGTAGAATCTACAAAATCATAACCTCTAAGTCCCAACTATCTCGTGACTATTCTCTAGAAATACCTATAACTCCGTTTACTTATTGACAACGCATAATGAGGGCTACAATACACAATTGACAGACACATGATATCATAAAGTTCAACGCCTATTGATATTGGTAAGTGCCCAAATAGCAATAGTACGAGTACCAGGGGAAGCTTATTAACTTATTTTATTCTTACAGAAAAGAGTTGATGGAACCGCCCCACAACCTCCGCATTGAGGCTGTGGGGAACTGGCGATCGCATCACTATTCCCCTGATATTCGCATCCATAAATAGCGTAATGCAGCAAATTGTAAGAATCAAATATCTCTACTTCGTTTATAGATTATTAATTCTGATGTCCCCATGCAGCCATTTCTTGACACCATTCTTGAGACTAATGTTACCAGTTCTGTTAAATTTGTGAATAATCTCTATTAAATGCTTAGTTGAAAGTTGAAAGATTTATTTGGCCTCCACGTCTGACACGGGTTAACGCCACCTCCTGATTGTTTTCTTGAAAGACTTGATTAATTGTTTTAACTTTTAAATATGATGACTGGAAGTGTATGTATGATGCTCATGCAATGACGTTTTTGTTAGTAAATGGTTAGCGTGCTTGATTTACAATTTGATATTTGCGATGCGTATGAATTCAACAATGTATTTGTAAGATGTGATAGGAATATTATTAATCTTGTATCTGAGTTAATACGGAATAAGACCCGAAGATGTCTGAGATCCGAATGGTAGTCCGTCATCGGACATTCGACTTGAATGTTGATTGTGTTATGTTTATGTTATCGGCTTATGGCAAACACCTGACGAATTGTGGCAATCAGATCGATGTCGAGTGGCTCGGTAACATGGAAAATATGTACACCACTGTCTACGACTTATACCCGGTACTCCAAGAGTATAGGAGTACACTAGATTCGTGTATATGTGTGCAACAGCTTAAAGGAAGCGTTTCCGAACCCCATAAAGTGCATCAATTCGCTCCGCTGCCTGAAACTCCACTGCTCTACTGCTCTCCATCGAGATGGTTCTGTAGTTTTAACCTACTTAATATCATGTCTTGATGAGATGAGGTGGAATCGAGGAAGGTCGAATTCTTAACAGGAAAGAAACCGAGTACCCGTCTTAGATTTGACTGTCCATAAACTTGAGTATTTATAAGCTGTCGGTATGCAGCTCCGCTTTGTTCTCATAAGTACGGGGTTTCGATCTCCTCTCCTCTCTAAGGAACCTAAAATCGGGACAGAAAAATAAGAGATATATGTATGAAAATATATGATAGATCTATAGATCTAGCGAATCTTTTGAATGTTCAGCCCGAGATCAAAGATATTAATCCAGACATTGTATTCAGGCATTTGACACTTCTACATACATACATACATACATACATACATACATACATACATACATGCATATGTACCAATTTTATTTTTCCTTGCTTATTGCTATTAGACAGTCATGCAAACAGGCTGGTGAGGAGTAGGAGACGGTAAATTTTCTACTCCTGCCCAACTTTCAGGAACTTATGTTCAGAGCGCCCACCCCACTGCACTTAATATCTATGTGGCTTAGTTAATCCGTAATGTAGTTAATCGGTCTACGAGCCACAGGTCTAGCACGTAATGCAGATACTGCAGCAGGCTCATCGCGACACTCTGGCCTACTTCTTGCTGGACTGGAAACGTGTTGTTGATATTTCGATTGGAAGGATGCCTCAAAGTCAACCATCTAGCCCTTATTTTGGCCCCAGCCCTGTTTAACGGTCGAGAATTGTCACCACCTGGAAAAATGTGTGGAAGGTATGGTAAGAACATACAGTCTGCCCTTTTAGATATTTAGTAATGTCGGGTGACCTTTTCTCGCAGTGCACACACATCCCCACATGGAAGTAATTGGACTTAACCTTGAAATTGAGGTCACGCAGCAGACCGGAGTGGGACTGGGATCACGTGGTATAGCAGTCGTCCATGCCATCTCTTGACAGTCCATCGCTTGGTGTTGGGCGACTTTTTGCAAGAGACACTGCTCACTGGAACGTCAGCTCCATGGTGTGGACCATTTCTTGGGCACTGCTCAATAGCACCTCCGTGTGGGAGGCCATTTTCAAACCCAAAACTTAACTCTATGATGATATTAATCACCAGAAACAACAGCTACCCTAGATATTTGAGTTGCTTGGTCTCCAGGAGCGTAACACCCAGAGCATGTCGTTTGTATAAAGAACAAGAAATTTTAGCTCCAAAGTCTCTCCATAGATTTTAATGAGCGATAAAGACGCCAAATAAATGCACCTATACACAAAAAAATAAAGAACACAGGATATAATTTTTTTTCGACTTTTCCTGAGTTTTTAAAGTCAAAATCATCATTTTTGCATTTCAATGCTTTATATTTCCCAGACGGTAAGCTGAAATCACAAAGTATTTGGGCTCAACTTCTAGCTGTTTTAATAAACTTTTCAAAATAGTAAAGTTCTTAACAACCAGATGAAAGATACTAGAGTTATGTGAAAAAAACAAGCGCTACCTCTGAAAAAAGCTTTAAAAAAAATACCAGTTTTCAAAAATTCTTCAAAAAAAAGTTCTGCCATAGAAAAAAAACCATAATTCTTTAAAAAAATTTAAATCCCAATATCTATCAGAAAAAGTCGGTTTGGATCCTTGAGGAAAAAAAAAGTTCGATTTTGTCGAGTAGTGTACCCAGCTCAGGAATATATGTTCAACAATTATTCCTGAAGTGAATGGTGCAAGATGTAGGCAAAAACTGTGCGCAAAACATAAAAGAGAGATGCAAATTATTATTTTGTTGAGCAACAATATATGCCGAGTTAATTTTTGTTTCCTTTTTTAATTTCAGTTGAACTTCACAATTGGCTCTGTTTACAAAACACAGCTGATTCATCAACCCTGTTTTAGCTATGTTCCACACCCTCACGGAATAACTAGTAAATTCCTGGAAGGAATTTTCCGCGGTGCTGGAGACAGGCTTTTACACTTCAGTAATAATTGTTGAACATATATATATTCTTGAGCTGTGTGTCAGGAATATCTCAGTCCACACACGGTCCCGATAGGAAACTATCGATATAAATCCGTGGATTCTGCTAAGGTTTGCACAAAAAAGATCAATACAAAATAGAAGCATAAAACGTGTGTTCGGAATGTGACGTCATTTTAATACTTTTTGCATGTCAACTGTTAGTATGGACATTAGGCTGGGCCAAAATTTGATGAAACATTTTTTTTTTGTTAGTAAATAATATTATACAAATACACTTTTTTGGTTAAAAATACATTTAAAAAATTGATTTCGTCGGTTTTTTTTTTCAAATAATATTGAAACTTAGAAACTAGTTCATATTGATAAAAAAGTATTTTTAATTTTAGTTACTGTTAAAAAATTAACTTTTATGGAAAATCAAGAAGTTCAGCTGAGGTTGATATATTTGGTTAACTGGTTCGCAAAAAGTTGTGCAGGTTTTTTACTGCCAATAACTGATTAATGATGATATTAATGGTATCAATATATATGCAATAGATTTCACCAAATTATCCAACTCATTCAGCAAACAAAATTTTTAAATTAATTTTTGAAGTATTAATGGACATTTGTATACCCTGTTTCCTTTAAGTTATATTAATGCTAATATTTCGAGCTGCTTTGAAACTATTTAACTATTTCATGAAGTTAACATTTTTTAAGCATATCTTGATCCCGATCCCTACTCTGAGTCTCTCTAAGCGACTGTGTGGATCGAGTGGATCATTCAATTCTGGAATTGAAATTGTAGTTATCATTTTTACTTGAGCGAAAACCTCAACGTGAGGTCACTCTGTATCAGAATTAAGAGAAATCCAGTGACTGCCGAGAAAATTGTGTTGACCAACGAGCTGTTCAGCTCCATTAGGCCCAGTGGCATCAGTTTATAGTCGATGGTGGACACCTGTAGCCAGAAGGAGTTGACTACTTGCTTGAAACGCACATCAGCATGCTGCAGATCAATGCACTGCAGGAGATCTCCAGTTTTCTTGGTCTACAAATGGTTGAAATCCTATAATAGATAATTCTTGGTGTACTTTCATCACAGCACTTACCTCCTGCAGCATTTCACTGCTTATGCGAGAGACCAGGATGAGTTCCATGAACGGCACCGAAAGAAAAACCAACTGGACAATGGCTTGATGCAGATCAAAGAACTCCTCCTCGTTGATGTAATAGTCGGCAATGGCCAGGTATTGATTGTAGAATCCCACCGTGATTCCAATCAGATTCATGACCATAGATACGACCATGGACCAGTCGGTGAAGCGTAGATATCTACTGGAGCAGGAAACCGTTAGGGAATACTTAATGGCCAGCTCATCGAGACTGTCAGCCAGCTCGCAGCAGCGTCTCATGCGGTAGTAGGGCTTCTGCAGCTCCATCTGCAGTGGTGTCTGCATCATGTTGGCCTCCCTGACAATGCTGCGTATCCGCTTATTGATGGCGGCAATTATTAGATTGGCAATCACCAGGCCGCCAAAAAAGCAGTTGTTAATCTGATTGGATATTATCAGAGGCAGCATGGCTCTAAAAGAGGCAAGGCTGGTCCATTCCCTGTCCGGATGTGCTCGATGCTGGTAGAGTATCAATGTTACGTACACAATCAACGGACATAGCATCATCTTAATGACACAATGCATGAGTGCTCGCCACACCATCATCATCGACATGTCCAGGGCATTGGACACACGAAATAAGGGAACACTGTTTTGGAAACGTATGATACTTCCCATGATAGCCCACTGTGTCACATAGTTGAGCAGGCAAATGCAGACATTCATGTAGCAGTATATCTTAATGGTGTCCCTGCCGGTGATGCGGCCACTGGTGAACTCTTCATACACCTGTAGCACGTAGTAAACGCCAAGGCTCAACCCTACCAAAATGCTGTAGACAGCCACCGGCTTCGAAAGTATAAACTTGCCACGCTTTACACTGAAGCGACCCCAGTAAAGCCCGTACAGAGTGTTAAGAAGCAATGTTATGGATAGACACGGCAGCACTACTTTACTGTGGACTTTCCAGCGGTCAAAGCGACGTGGTAGTAGCCGTTGAAAAAAGTCCGGTAATATCCTTCGTGCTGTTTGTTCCTTCAGGGTTTCCATTGTACTAAATTGAAGAGGGCAATTGGGCAGTCGTTTGCACTGCGCCACTGATTTAATTGCCGTTTAATTACGCTTCGTCCTTATCGCTGATTCAATGATATCTGTCGTAATTGCTTTGATGAACCAAAATAAATGGACACAAATAACAAGAGTATTGAATTTGTAAAAAGCTCTAGTGGGCTAGTTCCAGAGCTAGGTGGAAGTTTCCAACTTAAAATTAAAATTCAAATAACTAAAAATCACGATATTCCATCTTAAACGAGAAGGAACGTGTGAGTCGATTCTGGGGACGCG